CTCTATATACAACTCAAACATGAGACAAAGAAAGGCTAATTAGCTTGGTGGGGAGAATCTAAAAAGCATGGACATGTTATATTAATTTCCTTTCTAAGAGGCAACTGTATCATCTTTAAAAAGGGGGGAGGGGCGGGGGGTGGATAGTAAAACACCATGTTCTTTAATGTTCCCATTCCATTCTCCAAAACAGCCAAGTTAGGGAAAAAATGAGAACAAACCTGGGTAAGAAAGTCCAGATACATGGTATCTTGAAGGACACTGGCTTTCTCTTATGCACGTTGAGAATTAGGGCACATTAGCTCTTTGGGATGCTGGCCATATAAGCAAACTAAGCAAGCTAATGATGATAATGAAGTTGCTTCTGACATATAAAACCCTTCTGTATGGCATCTAGGGAATAACTGAGGGCGCTGTGGAGAGGATACATGACCCTTGTCCAATTACATACCACGGGGGTGGGGGTGGGGGGGCGCAGAGGCACTCTTTGGTGAAGTATCTTGACGAACACTGATTCACCTATCCTTTCTTGGAGCAGTTGTGAGATCTCCCCAATAAATCATGTCTTGCATGCCATCTCTAGGCACTTTCTTTGGTCTTTCAGCAACCCACTGCCCTGGCACAGGTAGGCTCTGAACAAAACATCAATTTACATTCCAAAAATAATCCCTCTCCCAGAGTGCACTTAGTTCTTATGCTTCTCAATTTTTCTTTCCTTAATGCTACTTACCATTTCCACTTGAGGGGCTCAGGACACATCATGGCAAAGTATGACTGTAAGAAACTATAATATGCCACCCCAAAATATGCCTTTCTGGCATATATTAACTTGAACCAGATATCTTGAAAAACACTGATACTATGGTTTTAATGTATCCCCACAGCTTATGTGTCAAAAATATAACTCCTAGTGAACACTGTTACCTTTAAGAGGTTATTATGTCTAGAAGCTCTGCCCTGTGAATGGGTTAATGTCATAACAGGAATGGATTAGTTATCACAGAAGTGACTTTCTGAGTTTTAAAAAATTGAGTTCAGCCTTTTTCCTCCCTCACTTGCTCTCCCTTTCCCTTCTGCCTTATATCATGGAGCAAGAAGGTCTTTGCCAGATGTGGGCCCTTTGACCTTGGACTTCGAAGTTTCCCAAACCATGAGAAATAAATGTCTAATGTCCATAAATTACCCATAAATGGTATTCTGTAATAAAAACACAAAATGGACCAATACAGAAAATTGGTACCAAGAAGTGGGGCTGTTCCTATAAAAAGTACCTGAAAATGTGGAAACAGTTTTAGAAGTTGGTAATGAGTATAAGCTGGAGGAATATGGAGAAGCGAGCTAGAGATAACCTAAATTGCTGTGAATGGAGTGTGAAGCACAATTCCAATTGGGGCTTAAAAAGAAGAGCTACAGGAAAATTCTTAGATATTACATGATTGTGACCAGAACTTTGGTAGAAAAATAGTAAAGGCAAATATGATAAGGAATCAGGCAGATCTGAGAAAGAAGGTATTGGAAACTGGAGTAATGGCCATTCTTATTATAAAACAACAAAGAACTTGGCTGACTTGTGTCCACTCCTAGAGGTTTTTAGGAAGGTGGAACTTAAGGGTAATAAAATAGACTATATGGCGAAGAGATTTCTAAGCAAAACATTGGAAGAGCGGCAAGGCTGCTTTTCACCACGTTTAGTAAAATGTGAAAAACAGAAATTATTTTAAAACAACATACAAGTAAAAGAGAAGCACAATAGAAAGATTTGGAAAAGTCCCAGCCTGGCCTTATACAGAGTGAAAAGATATGTTTAAGAAAGCAAAACAAGAATGTGAACAAGTGACCACACCTTTGCTGAAGAGATTAACGTAGCTAGAAGAGAGCCAAGTGCTATTCATCAAGACAATGGAAGAAAGACCCTGAAAGTTTGAAGCTTCTATTTGTAGCTTCAGTTTGAAGCGGCCCTTCCCATCACAGGCCCAGAGCAGGACCTTTTGAGCAAAGTTTTCAGAGACACACCTGAAGGACCTCAGCATTTGCTGCCCAGGAATACCTTAGGATTCTGCTCCCTGCATTCCATCACAGTACTCCACAACTATGGCAGCTTTGGCTCAAGCAGGGTCATGTAAAACTCAGACCCCTGCTCTAGAAGGTGCAAGCTGCAAACTTTGGCGGTGTCCATGTGTAAATGAGCTGTGGGCCATGGTAACCATCATTCCAAAGAATGTCTGTCTTATTCAGTCTAAGGACCCAGGCAAAGTTGATGCAGGAGTGGAGTTACCACAGAAAGTGCCCACTAGGGCAAAATTGAACCAAAACGTGAGATTGGACTTGCCACAGCAAGTCCCCACTAGAACAATGCATAGTGAAACTATGAGATTGAAACCACCTCAGAAACCCAGAACTATAGACCTATCAGCATGAAACTCCAGTACAGGAAAACTACAGGCACAAGACTCCAACCCATGAGAGTTTCCAATGGGAGTACAAAAGGACTTAGGGGCCCAACCCCCACCCCCAGTGTGGGTTGTGGAGTCAAAGGAGATTATTCCCCCAGCTTTCAGATTGAATGGTGCTTACCTGCTGGGTTTTGGATTTACTTAGAACCAGTGGCCCCGTTCTTCATTCCTATTTCTCCTTTTTGAACTAGGAATATCTATCCTATGACTGTTCTACTATTATATTTTAGGAGCAAGTAACTTGTTAGTTTTCTAGCATCAGAGCTTGAGAAGAATTTTTCTCAGGGTGAATCTTGCATTGAGTCTCACAGAGACCTGATTCAGATGACACTCTGGACTTTGAACTTTTGAGTTGCTCCTGGAATGATTTAACACTTTGGATGAAGTGAATTTATTTTGCTTGTGAAGACATGCAATGTGGGGGCACAAAGGCAGAATTCTATGATATGAATATGTCTCTAAAAGTTCATGTGCTGGAAAATTAAGTCCTTATGCAACAGAGTTGATAGGTGTGTAGGACCCTTAAGAGGTGCTTAGACCATGAGGGTTGTGCCTTCATGAATAGATTAATGCTGTTATCAGAAAAATGGTTATCATGGAGGTGGTTTTTCAATTTAAAAAAAAAAAAGCTACTTGCCTCCTCTCTCTCTTGTGCTCTCTTACACCTTATGCCTAGCACCATGGGATGATGTAGCAAGAGGGCCCTTATCATCTTTGAGTCTCTTAACAATGGACTTCCCAGCCTTCAGAACTATCAAATGCAAATATCTATTGTTTATGAATTACTCAGCCTGTTATAATCTGTTATAGCAATACACAACAGACTAAGACACGCAAACCCAGGAATAGCTCTGAATAACTGTGCTTTTCCAAGAAAAAATTACATCTATAAAGGAACTCTTCAACATTTTGAAGTACCAAGAAAGGGTTTTTCTCTATAGTAAAATCCCAAGCCCCATTCTATAATTGCAAAGAGACCCTATCTTTTTTTCAGGACTTTTCTCCTTAAGACTTTCAGAACACTTAATCTAACAGGTTAGTCCCTGATTATTACTATCGGAGCCTCCTCAGACAGTCCAACAATGCCTGAGGTTTCTACCCACAGCAGTCAGTGCCAACCAGATCAATGCACTACTGCAGTTCTCCTCTGAGAACTGGGCCAGAGAAGTTCAAGTGTAAGCTACACTCTGTGCCCAGAATCAGCTTCCCCTAAGAATTGCATTAAGCCTAGCCAAACTATACTCTTTTGACTTCCTGAAAGTACAACTAAAAGCAAGCTCTGCTAACAAAGCATCTCAAATTCTGATTATTCAATCTTAACCCAAGTAGAGGACATTAATAGTCCTGATTGAATAACATTTGGGAAAACTACTTCTGTCCCCTTTTAGAAGTAAAATATGTACATATAATTGACATTACTAAGCAGAACACAAAGCATGCACTCTGATTCAAGGTAACCTCATACTTTTATCTGAGAGCATTGAGAGGGAATTTACTTATCTTACATACCTAGAATGAAAGAGCCTATTCTGAAGAATTTCTTTAACAAATGTAGTTATTTCCAAAGGTAAAGACATCTTTACCTCCATAAAATGAAACTTCCAGCAATCCTGAAAGGTACAGTGTCTTCAGTAAATCTCTTAAAAGGTAATATCCCTGCTTTGTAAGTTAGTTTATAATCTTAAAAGCCACTAGTATTTTCTTACTTTAAAAACCACTGGATGGTTTTTAAATTAAATTTTATACATTTATTTTTTAAATAAATACTATCCGCAATTGGCACAGAATTTAAAATATACAAAGCAGATCTCTCTCATATCCTGTTTTTCTTAGAAGCAAGCATGAACTTTCAGTAGTATTTTGTAATTCCTTCTAGAGATCATAAAAAAATCAAGGACAGCATGGCAGCATATTTCTTTGGAAGCTTTCTGAATCAACTTCTCCTTAAGATTAACTTTCCACATGCTGAGATTCTAGTGTTTTCCTATTTCTATGTTTTTTTCTAGTCCCTATAATTGTTTGGACCTAATACTTTATCATCAATTAGGCTATTTCACTTAGGCTTTTCCATTGAAACATGGTATCTGACTTACTAGTAGCTTTGTTTTGCAGAATGCAGAAATCATAATTTTGTTAGGTTTTGTTTATTTGCTTTTGTCCTTTTTCAATATCTTTGTCTAGTTATTCTGATTATTTTTTAATTTTCCTGAGGTTATTCACTTTAGTGCAAAGAGCATGTATAAAGAACAAGAACTGGGAAAGATCTGAGATTTTAACCTACTTACAAACTAACACATTAGCCTCCCACAGTCTAATGGATTCTAGTAGAAGAAATGGGACTCTTGGGTCAGAGACAAAGGACAATTTATGGCTCAGAGCAAAAGCAATAATCAGAGCATCAACATCTGTACCAGTTTCCCAAGTCTCAATTCCTACAGTGTGACATCACAAGGACAAATGATATCTGTTTATGTGGCATAGTGTTCTACAGAACAGGAACCCTGAGCATAAGGATTCCAAATATTTTATAATGGGAAGAAAACTAATCTGACTTTCCCTCCTAAGGAGACTTCTTTATCTATACTGGATAGTAAGCAAGCTTACCCATTGTTCTGGAGGGAGACACTGTCTTTCTCTTCCAAGGATGTTTATTACACAAACATCATTGAAAAGATAGTTTATAACAAAGGGAGTCAATTCCTCTGGTATGAGATGTGCAGAAATGTGAGAGATAAAACAGAAAGTCGCCTCCAAACACCGAGTGCCTTCAATATGCTTGACAGTGGTAAGAAGCTTTTATAAAGTACTTAGTCAACAAGCTTTTATAAAGTACTTGCTTTATTGTTATGGGGGCCATAACAGCTGTTCATTAAAGAATGTATGTGAAGGAATTTTTAAACTGTGGAAAGACAAGTATTAGCTATTTTCCCTACTTCCACACTTGGTTTATTGTTTGACTATTTGCCAATACTAGTTTATTGCGCTCATTTCTGATGCTGGCTATCTTGCAATATCTATATTGATCTTCTACCTACATATCTATGGTTTAGCTGAAGAGCCAGAGCACTAAAACTTCAGGCTCTGGTTTTCTTTGCACAAAACAGACAACTTTCTCTACCTCTAGCCAGTTTTCCTCAGGCTTTAATCCTCTCCTTTTGTAGGAAGAAACTGGTTAGACTGGAACTCAAAACTAGTGAAGTTCTCAATTATGAAAATAATTCTCAAGGACATTAAGAAATGTTAAGACAAAGACTTTTCCATTGAGTTGCTTTCCAATTTAAAATAATCCATTTTGTTTACCCAGATTTTTGATATGTTATATTTAATTGTGGTGATACCTAATAAATAAGAAATTACAGGCACCTAAAATTTTTTAACATTTATTTATGTAATAAAATCTTCAAGATGGTGAAATCAGCTATTCTGTAATTTCATATATCGTATATAAATAGTTTATATAATACCAAATTTTAAAAAGTACTTTTGGCAAGGGAATATATGTTTCTATTCTTGTTATTGTCTGTTTTCTTTTCTTACAGCTTATTGAAATAAATTTGATGTGCAGTAAACTACACATATTTAACGTATACAATTTGAGGAGTTTTAACATGTTTATATTCATAATACCATCACCACAACCAAGAGGATGAATATTTACCTCCAAGATTTTCCATGTAATCCATTTTCCATTTGTAATCTTTTCCTTCCTCTACCCCAACCCTCAGGCAAACAATAATTTGTATTATGTCAATATGAATAAATTTTATTTTCTAGAATTATAATTCCACGTAATACACAGATTACTATTTTCTGTCAGGCTTCTCTTACTAGTATATTTTTTAAATGTATTCATGTTGGTGTCTGTATCAATAATTCATTACTTTCTTGCACTGATTAGCATTCACAACTTATCCATTCACCAGTTGATGGTGAAAGAGCATCAGTGTTGGTAGCAGTTTAGAGCTATTATAAACAACACTATTATAAATATTATCATATACAAGTCTATAATTCATTAGATTGAAGGTAGGTCTATGATTCTCTTCAAGTTAATGTTTGTACCTAGTGCGAGTCATTGTTTTGTTTGCATGTGAGTATCCAATGGTTCTAATACCATTTATTGAAAAGAATCTCCCTGCTCCATTGAAATCCCTTGGCACCTTTGTCAAAAATCAACTGTACATACATGAATGTGTCTATTTCTGGAATTCTCACTTTATTACATTGATCTATATATCTTTATGTTGATATGACACTGTCTTAATTATTTTAGCCATATAAAACTCTTAAATTTTGCTGAATTAATTTACGAGTGCTAGATGTTTTCTGGTGGAATTTTTGGGGTCATCTAAATATGGAATCTTGTCATCAGCAAATATGGATAGTTTGAGTTCTTTTTTTCCTATTCATATCCTTTTAATTTCTTTCTTCTGTTTAATTGTTCTGGCTAGAGTTTCAAGAACAATGTTGAATAAAAGTGGTAAAAGAGGGCATTCTTATCTTGTTCCAGTTTTTAGAGGGAATGCTTTCAAATTTTCTCCATTCAGAATGATGTTGGCCCTAGGTTTAGCATATATAGCTTTTACAATGTTGAGGTACATTCCTAATATCCCTAGTTTTTCTAGTGTTTTAAACATGAAAGGGTACTGTATTTTGTCAAATCCTTTTTCTGAATCTATTGAGATAATCATGTGATGCTTGTCTTTAAGTCTATTGATGTGGTGAATTATGTTTATTGATTTCTTTATGTTGAACCAACCTTGCATCCCTGGGATGAACCCCACTCAATCGTGGTGCACTGTCTTTTTAATATGTTTTTGCATGCAATTTGTCAGAATTTTATTGAGAAGTTTTGCATTTAAATTCATCAGGGATATTGGTCTGATTTTCTTTTCCTGTCTTTATCTGATTGGTTTTGGTATCAGGGTGATACTAGCTTCATAGAATGAGTTTGGAAGGGTTTCCTCCTTTTCTATTTCATGGAATAATTTGAGAAATATTGGTGTTAAAAATTTTTCTTTGAAAGTCTTGTAGAACTCAGCTGAGAATCTGTCTGATCTTGAGCTTTTCTTAATGATAGAATTTTGATGGTTTCTTCTATTTCATTGCTTGAAATTTATCTGTTTAAAGAACTTGAAGAACTTAACACACACAAAAAAAAACAAGGCTGGGGATGTGGCTCAAGTGGTAATGTGCTAGCTTGTGGCATGCACGGGATGCTGGGTTCGATCCTCAGCACTACATAAAAAAAAAAATAAAGATGTTGTGTCCACCGAAAACTGAAAAATGAAATATTAAAAAATTATCTCTCTCTCTTTAAAAAAACCCAATTAATAAATGGGGAAAGAAACTGAACAGGCATTTCACAGAAGAAGAAACATAATATGTCAACAAATATATGAAAAAATGGTCAACATCTCTAGCAGTTAAAGAAATACAAATTAAAACTACACTGAGATTCCATCTCATTCCAGTCAGAATAGCAGTTATCCAGAATACAAGTAACAATAAATGTTGGTGAGGATGTGGAGAAAAAGGCACACTCATATATTGCTGGTGGGACTTCAAATTGATGCAACCACACTGGAAAACAGTCTGGAGATTCTTTAGAAAACTTAGATGGAACCACCATTTGACCCAGCTATCCCATTCCTCAGCATATAGCCAAAGGACTTAAAATCAGCATGCTACACTAATGCAGGCACATAAATGTTTATAGCAGCTCAATTCCCAATAGCTAAACTGTGGAAGCAACCTAGATGCCCTTCAACAGATGAATGGATAAAGAAATATAGTATATATACATAATATATACTCAACCATAAATAATAATGAAATTTTGGCATTTGCTGGTAAGTGGATGAAACTGGAGAATATAATGCTAAGTGAAATATACCAATCCCAACCAAAGGCCAAATATTTTCTCTGATATGTGGATACTAACTCACAATAAGGGAGGTGATGTGTGAATAAGAATAGAAGTACTTTGGATTATAAAGAAGAGAAGGTAGAGAAAGGAGGAGATATGGGGATAGGAAGGATAGTAAAATGAATCAGACCTATGTACATATATGATTATATGACCAATGTAATTCTACATCATGTACAACCAGAAGAATGAGAAGTTATACTCCATACATGTATAATACATCAAAATACATTCTACTATCGTATATAACTAATAAGAAGAAATAAAAACATATTTTTAAAAAACTCTTAAAATTCAATAGTGTTAATGGAGGTAGGAAAAAAATTCCAAAGTGTTTTTCCTTTTATCTTACTCAACAATCAATGCAGAACACTTCTGTGACCCCAGATGTGTGGAGATGTTTTCCCACACCAAGCAATTCTGTAGCAGACACCAGCTGGCTGCCCTCAAATTCAATTCATGATCTGACATGATCTACCTGCCAGGTAGTGTCAAATCCCATAAGTGGAAGGCTCCGCCCCACAATACTACCCCACAATTTCAGGTGCCCATTGCAACCCCCAGGTTATGGCCTGTGCTTCTGAGCAACCAGCTTTCAACTGGAGTTCCCTTGACCCTCTCATCAGGTTCAATTAATTTGTGAAAATGGATCACAGAATTCAAGCACTTATGTTTGCTGGTTTATTATAAAGGTTATTACAAAGGATATAATGGAAATGTCATCCAAAGATGCTCCTGTGACCTATAAAGCAAAAGACAAATTTAATATTTAGGTGGGATGTTTGACCAGAAATTTTCAGAGCATAGTTTCTAGTAGAAACCGGAATATGTCCCCTTAGGGGTGAGTCTAGAGGGTCCTTTTAAAAAAGAAAGTCTACGTGGGTTGCATAGGCTGTTTGTCAAAAGTTGTGACTGGTGGTGGGGCATAATGGAGGAAGCAGGTAACTGAAGGCATGCCCTGGAAAGGTACTTTCTTGTCCCAAGCACGTGTGCATCTCACCTCCACCCCTGCCCCCCCCCCTTATTCATTCTCTCTCTCTCTCTCTCTCTCTCTCTCTCTCTCTCTCTCTCTCTCTCTCTCTCTCTCTCTGTCTTCCTCCCCCAGGTTCCTGCCTGGCTGCCATGAGATGACAGCTTTCCTCCAATATGCCCTTTCACCATAATATTCTGCTTCACCTCAGGCTCAAAGCGCTGTAGCTAGCCAACCATGGATTGAAATCTCTAAACCATGAACCAAAATAAATCTTTGCTTCTCAGCTATTTGTCAGTGACAAAAAGCTAACACATATCTCATTTTTAAAAGTCATTATTTTGAGCTCTCATTAAGCTAATTCATTAATTTCCTTTTATTGGGAGTATGTTGCAAGAATTGTTGTGTTCCTTTAGAGATGTCTTTGTTGTTGTTGTTCTTTGCTTGTTTTTGTTTTTGTTTCAAGAGTCTGGTGTCCCCATCTTAGTATATGGGCAATGTGATATACAAATCAGTTGCCTCTATCAATTTTAAAGGTTGCATTTCATAGTAAAAGATTTTCTACTGGCTGTGTTCCCTAGGGTGTTCGTTATATATGCCGAATTGGCTTTGTTTCTAGGTAGGCAATTTCATGTGTTGTCTGTGTAAACTCCTCAGCTGTGACCCACATACTTGATGTCTGCATGTGTCCTGGGCTGCAAAAGTTGTGGAACTGCACCTCCATCAGGGATGTCAACGTCCTACATGCAACAGGTTCACTGGCATCTCTGGTTGTAGTGTACACAGGTGAAAGTGAGGGGAACACATCCGTTTTGTGGGTTGTTTGTTTTGTTTTTTGAGTCATGTGAGTTCAGGGCTACTCTGATGGGCCCAGATGAGTGCACTGAGTGAAATAAGGTACCTTTCAGTGACTAAGAAACACTCAAAGGCTATGTGGATGTCTTGAGGTCAGAATTGCTGGGATTCTGGGGGTCAGCATGCTCAAGGAAGTCTGTACAGCTGCTTCTTAGAGCTGAAGGGTGGGCGTGCAGGGCTGTACATCTGTTTCTCAGGACCACAATGGGCCAAGCTTCTGGGAACAGGATGCTCAAAGATTTCTTAGAGCCACAGGAAGATTGGCAGAGCTGTCTGATGTTTCCTGGGAACAACTCAGAAAACATTATTCACTGCTTCCCTGGCCTCTGTGGCCTAAGTCACTCAGGGCTGCTTATCTGTTTGCTTCTCAAGGCTAAAAGTGCATGAGTGAAGCCACCCACCTGTTTCTGGAACAGAAGGGGTATGGGCAGGGTCATGTGGCTACTTTGGGAGCATCGGGAGAGTATGGAGGTGCTCAGCTGTTTCTAGAGTTCTCATCAGGTTGATCTGCTCAAGGTAAGCCACCCAGACCCATGGGAGTGTGGGCGGGGCCTCCTGGCTTGTGTGTAGGGCTATTAGCAAAGTTGCTGGGGATGGATGCCTGATCACTTCACAGGAATGGAAAAAGAACACATTTAGTTTATGTATTATAGCCACCCCCAACCCCTGCCAAAAAAAAAAAAAAAAAAGACCAGACTTGGCTTCTATACTTTAGTTTGTCTACCCCTGGTCTAGGACTGATTTGACTCTTTACCTCATGCCCTGGGAGTAAATATGCCTTTCCACTCTAGCTCATAGAAACAAAATCAATTCCTGTGAGCTCCATCTACTATTCTGCCTGACCTTTCTGGATAAACATTTTTATTAATAATTTTATTGGTACATTATAATTATACATAATACTGGGATTCATTGTTACATATCTGTATATGCATGCAACTCAACAGTACAATTTGTTCAATTTCATTTGAGACCCAGATCGCCAGCACTCTGCCCTTCCATTATAAACACACTGGCTTCCATGAACTCTGCACCCTGCCTCCTCCACTGAAGTGGACGATCAGATTCTGCCTGGGCTCCCTTTCTCCACTCTGAAGCCGAGAAATTCTCTTTGTCCTGCAAGCTTGAGCAATTATGGAACTCATCTGTTCTGTTTTCTCAAAAATCACTTTCCTGTCCTGTCCATTATCCACTATTGAAACACATTTTTAAATATTTCATCTGATGACTTGTTAAATATAAATCTTTTCCCCACTAATCTATCACAGACAGAAATGAACATTGGGAATACAATGTTCCATGTTTTTTAAAGTTCATTAAGGTAGAATTTCAGATAATATCTTTAACATTTATTTAAGTAAAATTAAATGTTGATTTAAACTCAAGCACAAACATCATAGTTTGTCTTCTTAAAACTTATGTACATCAAATAATTGTCATAAATTGCATGAACCACAAGAAGAAAACATATACTGAGGATAGCATTTTCTAAGAAATTAATTTCATGTATAAGCATAATTTTTAAAAAATAACTATTTTGAGTGACAGATTTTTACTTAATTGGTATTATTTTCTGATAATGAGAAAGTAGTTAAAATTAGCTGTAAGATGAAGTTATAAAATATGACGTACCTAGACATTAGAACTAGGAAATATTCATATGCTTACATTTTTTTAAGTGGGAGTCTGACATTGATTTTATAAGTAAGTAGAAATTACATTCAGAACAGTAATTTGGCTTTTAGAAAAGAAACAGAAGAGTTTCACTTATTTAAAAACTAGGATAGCAAATTTAGTATTATATATTTAAAGTCTTTAAACGTATAAAGTAAATAAATTCAACTTGTATAGGTCTTTTAAAAACCATTAGCTAATTGCTTTGAATACCTCTAATGACTTCTTTCAGACTTTGTTTAGAATGCCAATTATTCCAAATGACATGTTCACTATAATTTTAAGTTGTCCTCTGTTTTAAAAGTATTTTAACTTGTGGCAATATTGCTTTCCAGCAATTCAGTTAAAAATGTGGCTTTAATATTCAACACTGGGACAAAAATTACATGAGCAATAACATTTCATCCATGAATTTCCAAGAAAAACTTGTTTTTCAAATTTAACTAACCATATTCTTCCACAAAATAAAAAAGTAATAATACTCCTGAGAAGAGTCTCTCATTAAAATGTCACTTCTAATGTGATAAATTTACACATGTCTCACCTTCATTGGAAAATATTAAAAATCATTCTAATGTTAGTCAAATAATACAAGTTCATATTCTTATTCAACAAAAAAGATCATTTTTTTTCAGTTTTTAGCTTATGTTAGAAACTCATGAAATCTAGAAAGTACAGATGCATATTTCCTGTCTCCATGCAGCTGGAATCTACTTATAAAGCAAGGCATATAAACATAACAAATTAAATGAGCAGATATAATAGGCAATTTATGATTTAGTTCAAAATTATGCCATTTATTACAAATATACTATGTCAGAAATTTTACACATATTGTATCTAATCCTCTCAAAAATTATTTAGAAGTAGAACATCACACAGAATTTTTAAGTTGCAAATAAAATTTTTCCCTGCCCCCCATCCCCATCTCCTCCCTTATACACACACACACACACACACACACACACACACACACACACACTTTCCCTCTCCTTTTATGTGAGCTTCATTTTCTCAACCTAGACAACACTCAAACCTGAATCTACAATCAGAGCCATCTTGGGGCTCCTCACAATTAGAGGGGAAAAGATAGCTTTTCTCTCCCTGCTTCACAAAAGAAAGAAAGGAAGGAAGGATGAAAGGGGAAGGAAGAAAGGAAGACTAAAGGCTTGGGGTGTAACTCAGTGGTAGAGCACTTGCCTAACATACACTAGGTCCTGGATTCCATCCCTAGCACCAGGAAAAAAAAAATTCTAAAGTAAAAATGCTATTGGTTAGTCTGAAATCAAACATTGATACTGAAGACATTGCTGTGGCCATAGGGATGAAGAAATACCATTGATCCAGCCATGTAAATTCTTTTTACCACTAGAAGGGGCAGTACAATAAGGTCATTTGAAGATATGTTTACAATTAATGACATATTAACAATTTTTTCTAAAAAAGCAAGTCATTTGTTTCACTTTCTTGGTTTGGCTAATTTAATACGTGTGTTAGTCAGCTTTCCATTGCTATGACAAAATGGCTGAGATAAACAACTTTAAAGGAGGAAGAGTTAATTTTGGCTTACAATTTCAGGGTTTTCAGTCCATGGTTTGTTGGCCCTGTTCCTTTGGGCCTGTGGCAGCACAGTCCATCATGGTGGGAATGACATATAGAGGAGCCTATTCACCACATGATAGCTAGGAAGAAAAAAGAGATACAGAAAGTGTCCAGAGCCCTAATATCCACTTCAAGGGCATGCCTCCAAATGATCTAATTTCCTTCCACTAGTCCCCATCTCCTAAATAGCACTACAGGTGGAAGACCAAGGCTTTAATACATGATCCTTTGGGGTATATTCCAGATCCAAAGTAAAGTAATGTGTTTCTTCATAACTCAGGTTTCCAATAAAGTTGTCATAAGATCCTCAAACAAGGTTGACACACTATGATCCATGGGCCAAATCTGGTCCATTCCCTCCTGTTTTGTAAATGAAGTTTTATTAGGGAAAAGCCAAGCTATTTACATATTGTCTATAGCTCCTTTCATGCTACAACAACAGAGTTGAGCAGTTGGAAGATTATATGATCCACAAAGCCTAAAATAGTCATTTTCTAATGTTTTAAGGATAAAGGCTTGAAGATTTCTGACCTCATTGTTTCATTATGTTTAGTTCAATTACTTAGCCCAGAATAATATACATGTATGCAGTGTAAACTTTTTATCCTATTATGATGCAAACAATATTTTATTTTCCAGTGTTCAGTGGTATAAAGGTAGAATCATCTTTCAAAGTTGAACATTAGATACCACATGACTCAGCAACTCCACTCACAGGTATGTAGCCAAGAAAACACATGTCCATCCAAAAATATGTATACAAATGCTTTTAGCAGCACTATTCACAATACTCAAAAGTTTAAATAGCCCCAATGTCCACCAACTAATGAATGCATAGAAGAAAATGTAGCATGTCCATACAATGGATGCTCTTCAACAATAAAAGGGAATAGAATGCTGATGCACGCTGCCACATAGATGACCCTAGTAGCACTGGGGCAACTGAGAGAAGCCATATTATGTGATTCCATTCATGTGATATGTCCAGAATAAGCAAATCCACAGAGACAGAAAGCAGAATGGTGGTTGACAAAGAGTGGTGGGAGGGAAGAATGGGGAATTACTGCTAAGAAATATGGGAATATTTTTGGGTTTGGGTTTTTTTTTTGGACTTCTGGTTTTGTTTTGTTTTTTTGTTTTTATCTGTTCGGCACTGGAGCTTAAATCCAGGGATTCTCTGTCAATGAGCTACAATCTCAGCCCATTTTATTTTTTATTTGGGGACAGGGTCTTGCTTAGTTTACCAAAGTTGGTCTCAACTTTGAAATCTTGTCACCTCAGCCTCCCTAATTGCTGGGATTGCAGGTGTGTCCCACGGCACTGGTGGGGTTTCTTTTTGGTGTGATGAAAAGTTTTTTGGAGTTAGGTAACTGTTTAATAAAATTTAGAGGAGGCCCTTGGTTTTGACTGAGTTCCCATACTAGACCCAATAGACCAAACCAAAATGGAGTCACTCATGCCAAAAAGGTTTATCTGACCTTTCAAGAAATTAGGAGACAAAGAGATACTAACTGAATCCCCAAATAATCCAGTTTTATCTGACATGATAAGGAAATCCTCTTTGCTCAAATCTTTACAAGGAAAGTAACTGCTTTTTGATCTGGTTCTGCTTTCTTCAGCCTTTTTCTGCCCATGGAGTCAATCTCCTCTTCTCGGCTTATCAGAACACTAGTTCTCTTTTATAGAATGTAAGGGTTGCCTACATCAAGAAGCATAAATAAAAGCTAATTGAGATATTTCAATGAATTTGTTATGATTTTATCTTAACATACTGGTAATGGTTACACAACTCTGACTATACCATAAACCACCGAATTGTACACTTTGGGTGAATTTTATTATACGTTAATTATTTCTCAATGAAACTGTCATTTTTTAACAAAAATAAATAAAAGATAAAATCACATGGTTCAGCTTGTATTACCCTAGTGCCTCCATTATGAAATTCTGCCATCAATGTATTTCTTTTTTTTAAGAGAGAGAGAATTTTTAATACTTATTTTTTAGTTTTCGGCGGACACAACATCTTTGTTTGTATGTGGTGCTGAGGGTCGAACCCAGGCCACACGCATGCCAGGTGAGCGCGCTACCGCTTGAGCCACATCCCCAGCCCCTGAATGTATTTCTTCATGCTTCTATTACTTATATATAATTGTTGCCTTTAAGTATGATTTCACTAGAAGTCATAAAATATGACTTTCTAACTCTATCATTCTGTCTGCATCTATTAACTTTAATTCTTTTATAAAGAAGAATTTTCCCTCATCAACTATTCAAGTACATAAATGTACAATTCATACAGGTAAAGCAGGATGAGCTCGATTATTTTCCTTTTTCAGTTTTTCATAAAAATGATCAGCACTCTGGCAACCTCCAGTGGTGAATGGTGAGATATTTTGCTTGTTTGATTTGGTATCATTACAAATTTGCTAATTTGTATAGATGTGCTGTTTCGATTCAATGCAGCCATTCTTCTTTTTATTTTTAAGAGAGAGTGAGAGAGTGAGAGAGAGAATTTTAATATTTATTTTTTAGTTATGGGCAGACACAACATCTTTGTTTGTATGTGGTGCTGAGGATCCAACCCGGGCCACACGCATGCCAGGCAAGCGCGCTACCGCTTGAGCCACATCCCAGCCATTCTTCTTGATGTGCAAACTGGCCCATACACTGACAGGTTCATTCTAGATGGCCAATGCCCTTTTTTTGTGACCTCTTTAGACTTTATTATTACAGCTTTATTAAGATATAGATCATATTATCTACAATTCACTGGAGGTATACAATTTAATCATTTTTGTATATTCACAGAATTGTATGAGTATCACCATAATGAACTTAAGAGCAATTTCATTATCCTCCCCCGGCAAAAAGACTCCATATTCTTTAAAAGTAACTTCCTATGTGTCCCAGTACTCACTACACCCTCTTACTTACATGTTTTCAAAGTTCATCCTCATTATGGCATAATCAGCATTTTACTTTATTCTTTTTATTGGTTGAATGATATTCTATCATATGGACATGCCACATTTTATTTGACCATCCCCCAGTTGCTGGATACTTGAATTGATTCCAGTTTTTTTCTATTACTGTTAAACCACGACTTAAACAAAAGACCACCAACTCCAATTTTAAATCAAATTAAAGCTAGCTTGTAATTCTGGCTATGACAGTCTCTCCTGAAAACCATGGGCTAGAGAACAGTCCCCAGCTCTCTAGGAGCATAGTTTATAGCACAAAAAGTTGCAAAAGGCAGGTGTCTTGAGAACTTACAGATAACAGGATTTTGACAAGCATAATACAAAGGCAGATAGTAAGTTAATGATCTAAATGGTTCAACATTTCAAGTTAGGGAGTAAATTTAGATTCCAACACCAGAATTTATGAGGTGCCACTGAGGTTTCAGAGAGGGTTGTTATCTGGTCAGGGAAAGCCAGGCATGGGTGAGTTCAAGGCACGGGCAGGCATTCCAAGCAAGTTTAAAAATCACAGTAATTTATAGTAAAACAGAAATTAACTTTTCATGACTTTGTGATGAGATGGCTCCCAATCTTAAAATGGAATTAGGCTGGGTTAATCAATTACAAATAAGGCTGTACAAGTTTTTATGTAGACATGATTGCAATTCTTTTGTTAATATTTATTTTTTTAGTTTTAGGTAGATACAATATCTTTATTTTACCTTTATGTGGTGCTGAGGATCAAACCCAGTGCCTTGTGCATGCCAGACAAACATTCTACCACTGAGCCACAACCTTACCCTCATGATTGCAATTCTTTTGGGTATATCACTACAAGAAGAATTACTGGTCATATTGTATCATTATATGAACCTTTCAAGAGACTGCCAGATTATTTTCCAAAGAGACTGCACCCTTTTACTCTCCATACATATGCCAGAAAGTAGGTCATCAGGCTCAGCATTTTTCTCATCTTTGATTATAATTTGTTTGAAGTGTTATCTTATTGCAGTTTCTATTTGCATATTTTTAAGCAGAAATAATGTTGGACATCTTTTTGTCATTTTTATCTATTTATTTTGTGGAGAAGCATCTATTTTAATCTTTTTTCCTATTTTTAGTTAGAATTTGTCTTTTTACTATGTAATTATAAGAGTTCATTATAACTCTTAGATGTACGAAGTCCTTGTCAGATGTTATGATTTGCAGATATTTTTCTTTCATTCTGTTGTTTATATTTTCATTTTCTTAATTGTGTCTTCTGTGTTTTTAATTTCGATGAAATCCAATTAATCTAGTTGCTTGTCATTGGGGTGTCCTAACTAAAACTCATTTCCTACTCCAAGGTGATATAACTATGTTTTCTTCTAGGAGTTCTACATTTGTATATCTATATTTAGGTTTAGTTTATTTAGAATTCATTTTTGCGAATGGTAATTTTCTTCCACTTCTTTGAAGATTTTCCCTTTGTTTTTCAGCGTTTTTCTATGATGCATCTGGGTGTGAACTTCTTTGTATTTATCCTTCTTGGAGATAAACCAATTATTGGTGGCCTAGGGCACATATATAAATCTGTCCACAGATACATCTCACTAGGGAGGAACAGTTGAAATAGTGTTCCTTTAAAGGCAAATTAAATAATTAATTCAATCTATGCAATTTTATTTCCAAATGAACATGCAGCTATGTTTATCTATTTCCATTAGTGTTTGATGTTTTGGGATTCCTTTTTATCATATAATTTTGTGTTTAATTATGTATTCTTTTACATGGTTCAAAATCAAAAATAATACACAGTGCTATGATTTGGATCTGAAGTGTCCTCCAAAAGAGAATTTAGTTAAAGGCTTAGTTGCCAGTCTGTGGTACTACTGAGAGATGACAAGACATTGGGGAAGTGGGAAATAACAAATGAAAGCTGGTAATTGGAGGAATTCCCTTGAAGAGGATATTGGGATGCTAGTCTCATCCTCTGATTCTCTCTTTATTTTTCAGATGCCATGAATTAAGCAGCTTTGCTTCACCACATATTCCCTACCATGATGTCCTGCTTTAACACAGGCCCAAAAACAATGGAGTCAACTGACCATGAACTGGAACTTCTGAAATCATGAAACAAAATAAACCTTTCTCCCCTTTAAATGAATTTCCTCAGACATTTTGTCACAGTGACAGAAAGCTAACACATAGGTATATCATAAAATTCTCATATCAATCCTGTCTCCTCTTTCTTGATACCTGATTCCTCCTCTAAGTAAACATTTTTTTTAATTTATTTTGGTATATTATTTGACTGTTTATTGTTGAAAATATAAACATTCGTGTGTGCTCATAGACACTTTTCTTACACAAAATATGTCATAAAAACACCTTTCCTCATTTAGATCCTACTTATTCCTTTTTTATAGCTACATATTACTCCACTGTGTGGAGGTACCATAATTTATTCAGCTGTCTGCTATTAAACACTTGGTAGCATTTCATTTGCCATGCAATTGGCTGAATAACAAATTACCACAAATTTAGCAACTTCAAGCACAAATTTATTATCTCAGAGATTCTGTAAATTGGGAGTCCAAGCATAGATTAGATTAGATTAGATCCTTTCTCAGCATCTCACCCCTCTGAAGTCACAGTGTTGGCCAAGGCCTTGATCTAGTCAAAAGCTTGGAGCCCTCTTTCAGATTCATTAGTTGCGGAGCTGCATTTCAATTTTCTTGATAGCTGTCCAAAGCCATAAAGAGTGTCTTTAAATAGTTCACTGATCAAGTCAGCTATAATAATATATATAGTCTCCCTTTTGACTAATTCAAAATAAATTGATTAGGGACCTCAATTACATCTGAAAAATTCTTTTATTTTTGCCACACAATGTAATGCAAGTCTCCCATCACATACAGAGATTGTTCTTGCAGTCAAGAGAGGGAGGTTATACAAGGCATATACCATGGATTCTACCCCAAATACTGCAAGACAATAAATTTATGTTGTTTAAGCCTCCTAGTCTATGGTGTTTTGTAAAGGCAAGCCTAGCAAACGAATGCACCTATGAACCTATTCTCCCTTCAAAAATATAAATAAATAAAATACCCATTATCCTTTTTTAATATATAATTCATCTTATTTTTTCGAATATTTTTGGCTTCCACATATTTTCAATAAAAAATCATTGCTCTTAATTTTGTAGATGATTGTGATTTCTGCTTTTCTAGCACTTCCTGGTATATGGACACTTCAACTCCCTTCACTGTTTGTACCTACCTCCTCACATGCAAGTCACAAAATTCAGATGCATGTTCTCCAACACCCTGGCATTTAAGACCTGAGTTACTGACAGTTAAACACAGCAGACTGGCAGGGTGAATTTGGACAAAGAAGCAGGAACAAGAGAGTGCATTATGAGAAGGGGGCAACAGCAGCTGGTTCCACGGTTGAGCACCTTCAGCAGCAGTGGTGGGGCTGAGGTGTCAGGGCTCTATACAGGCAGCAGTGTGCTTCCCCCAGGTTAGTTCCATGTGCAATCATGGCCCATGGCCCTGACAGCCTTATCTGCCATTGTTCCTGACTCCACTTGTTCCCTCGTCTTCCTGCTCTAGGAGCAATCCCATGTTCTCTCAACAAAATTCCCTTCTATTTTATCATCCTGACTGGCATACTTCCATGTTTTTCTGTGCAGAAATTAATGGCAACTTCCTGAAATTTTTACAATGAATTAAAATTGTTCCAATGAAATGTAAATTAACTTGATAGCTGTTCAGAAATGAGAATTCTGAAGTTATCTGGCAAGAAAAAGAAGCTAAAATTACAGTGATCTTTGACATAACACACTTGTCAGCTTTAATATCCAATTTATTTCCACTTCTCATTTCTAATAAGCACTTAATCACAAAGATGCACAATATTATAACCTTTAAGACAGCCTCTGGAGGCCTCGCTACTCCTTTGATCTTTATGTAAAAATCTCCTTGTACTCAGTAATTTCATAGCCCAGGAAAGCCAAAACTCTTCCTCAAGGTTTCTGTTAATCCTGCAGCAACTGATATCTGTCTGGCCTCCTCCACTTCTAAGCTGAGGTCCGTATATTCTGCTACACTCCACACAACACTAGCTCTGTCTTAGCCTTTTCCCACATATCAAGCTTTTATGACACTAACAGATTTGACTAAATCTTTTTGGAGATTCCCACAGAGGGGTCACATCAAGGATTGGTGGGTTTTTGTCTTTTGTTTTGTTTTGTTTTGGAGGGGAGTGTTTGGTTTAGCTTCGTTCAGGGAATTGAACCCTAGTCCTGACATATTGCTAGCATACAGTCAACCACTGAGCTATACCCCTGGGTCAAGCAGTATTCTCGGTCTTCAGTCACAATTCCACCATTTTGTTGGCTCTAAATTTTTCCTTTATACTAAACAAAGAAGTTGTGGCCATTCTGTGAATATTTGGAACCCTCTGATACCAAGAGACCTACAGCTTTCTTTTTTATCCAGTAGTAATCATTGTATCTTGTTTTTGTTGTTCTTGTCCTGACCCTCCTCAGTCTGTCAGAGGTATCCATATTGTCTTGACAAGAATTATAATTAGAAAGGCCACCATAGAAAAAAAGAATGACATAATATAAGGTTTTCATTTGTATTGGGTGTGTGCACCCTTTGGCTTCTGTTTTACAACTAAAATCTCTTAGGTATCAAAATAGAAAGTCCTTGAAGGACACAAAGCAAGGAATTTAATCTATAATAATTTATTAGAAAGAAAACTAAAGGAGAGGAAGAGAATTCTTCCCTTGAATCTCTATAGGGACTAAATGAAAGTTACCTGGTAGGGAGGCTATAGAGAGCAGAATGTGTAGTGGAACATTACCTGGCTAGAGGTGAAAGGCGGGGCTGAATCACTGGGGTGGAGTTGGAGGCAAGTAGAAGAACAGGTTCACCATCAAGGGCAGCCAGGTTTTCAAAGCACATTCCATGGGGAGCCTGACTGTCTATGGCCATTCCACTGAGGCCCACAGTACACTTAGAGACTACATAAGGAACTATGTCAATTTTCTTCGTATTACTAATGGTCCATGGCTTGTCACCCATGGATCAATAGGATATTTATCTGGTACATTCCATCCAAAATGTTCCTATAGACACTGCCCTTTTTCAAAAACCTGGAATTTGCAAACATCACTCAAAAAGAAATATTCTTACACTAAGAAAGAGTTGAAAATATGGAAGGCCAAGTCACCAATTTCCACATTTGGGTAAAAATGCAAAAGTGACAAAACACATTCTGGTGACACATTTATCAAAGCATAATCCCCCCAAAAAAATCATTCTAAAGAGAATTTTTTTTATCCAGTTCTTAATGTTATAGCATTTTCCTTGTAGTAATTGGAATCAGTAACCATTACTCAATTTGCTAGATTAGAATAATTTTGTATAAAAAAAAAAAACAGAATTCCCCAGGACTCTGAATTGACTATGAATCAAGCATTTTTTTGTCCCCACATCAATGAAGAAATATTTAGCAAAGTCTGACTCATTTGTGCTATCTTTGTTAGCAAGGAAAGAATTGCAAATCCAGACTCCTATTTTAAGGTTGTTGGAGCAAAGTAACATAAAGATCTCTGCCATATTGCCAGGAATCTATATGTCACTGTATCCTTGATTTTCCTATTTCTAGGGCATTAGAAATTCATGTACTTGCCTCCTCCAGCAGCAGCTTGGTCAAAGAGCTTGTAATTTTTAGTAGCACCCATAATTTTCACTCTTGAGCCTTGGATCAAAAGATTTACCATAAGCATGGGACCAAAACTGTTTAGCAGTTAAGTCAAGCTATAAATGAGCTCTCTTCTAAAGGTAAATTTACTTTCTCTTAAAAAGGGGAACTTCCCTGTGACATCCAACCACTTGTTACTAGATTTGCTCTTGAAAAAGCAAGTAAACTGTGGAATAAAGAAGAACTTTGTATCTGGTGCCTACTTCTTGACAAAATCTCTTGAGAAGATGCCTCAGTTATTAATTTAACACTTTTCATAGCAGTAGCACAACTGCTTTTAGGATTTTTGACAAGGTCTTTGATGCCAACACATGCCTGTGTCAAAAACAGTGAATCACCAGGACATGCCACCAAGCAGTAGAGCCAGGTATGGTGCCAAGCATTACAGGGGCCCATCTGTACACAGGGAAGCAAAATTCTTTCAAGCAAAGTTTTGCTTGGCTAAGAAGTACTTCACCATTTTGAAGCCGTTAACAGTGTTTATAGTCTCCAAAAGATATTCACAAAATGGAACTTCTTTGATTGCTTTAGCATGCATGTAACAGAAAAAAAAAAAAAAAAAAAAACAGGAGCTGGCTTCCCTGAAACACATTATTAGCTGTGTTAAAGAAATTTGTGTGGCAGCTCCATTTTCCATTGTGAGTCAGAAAATGTTAACAGTTAGATGGAAATCACATAATGTAGGATATGCTGCCTCAGTTATTTTCCCCTGCTCCAAGCTGCTCCCAGATTGCCATTCCAGAGCACATGGTTTCCTCAAGAACTCTGTAGATGTGTGTGTGGCTTCTTTCCTTTCTGATGCAATTAACATTCTGGCAAATGTCAACAATGGGTGGGTTGGCTGTTTGGTTGGTTGGTTGGTTGGTTGGTTGGTTGGTTCGTATTGGTGATTGAACCCAAGGGTGATTGAACCACTGAGCTACATGTCCAGTGTTTTCTATTTTTTACTTTTAAGACATAATCTCACTAATTTGCTAAGGCTGGCCTTGAACTTGTGATCCTCCTATACCAGCCTCCTGAGTCACTGGGATGACAGGCATGTGCCACTGTGCCTGGCTTAAATCAATGCTTTTTGGATGGGTCAAATCCAAGTGGGTATAAAATCCTAGTCATCACAAATTGAGTCTTTTTTTTTCCCAAGAGAAAGATCCACAGCCTCTAAAGCATTTCAAAATGGTCACACACAAATTATCTCCTTGGCTTTGTTTGGGATTTGGGATCCCACTGGCAAGAACTCAGCCACATTGAAAACACAAAAAGCTTTTGTGTTGGTGGGAAAAGGGGGAAAAAATGAGATATATATCTCATTATTTTACTGCTGTGAATGTCCCCGAACATGGTCCTCTTCTCGTTCCTGCAAGCTAATAGAAAGAGTCTGATCTCCTGTTGTGGATAGGCACTGCTTCCCCCGCCTCCTTGCATTTCTAACATAATTCAGAGCCAATGGACATTTTTAGATCTCCCCAAGCACGTTAGGTACTTCCATCTATTCTCCCGACTCTTTCTTCCTATAAGGAG